TGTGTTTCTCAAGACTGAAAATTTCTTCGTCGTCGTTGCTCTATTTCTTCTTTTTCTGTAAGTTTGTGCTTGATGAAGACTTCGTTTTTTCTCTACTCTTAGTATCCTCTGCATCTCTCCTTCTCTCCCCTCTCTCTTATCAACTGCAGTCATGTAGAAAAATTGACTCATTGATTAGACACTAGCTCTCTATGACATGGAGGGAATACGAGAAATACTTCTTACATCTAACATTTTTTTTTCTCTATTTTTCATAATGAAACGGCGAGGCGTTGCTAACATGATTCTTTCGAGTGGTTCTGACTGAGCTTTGTTTTTTGTCTTATTTCTCTTTTTTCATCCGATTTTCTCTCTCTACTCAATTACACATTATAGAGTATGTTGTTGATGCAAAGAAATTGAACAGAAAAGAGTTGAGGTAAAGAAATCAGATTAGCCATTCTAGTACAAATGTTTGTTTTATATTGAACATTCATGCTATCATCTTTTTATAATTAACATAGAATTAATTGCCTCGCTTTTCTGTTCTAAAATGTTATCTTAGTAATTCTAAGATTGTCGGAAATGAGTGCTTTAACGGAAAAAAAGGATGATTAGGTTTGAAAGAACATGTCTTAAAACTCATTAGAGAGGTAGTATCGGATAATTTTAAGATTTTTTCTGGTAAGAAAAAAGACGATTGCCTGCAGCCTCTGAAACCGTCACTATAATGTTATTCTTTTACTCTTGAGATTACTTTAAAAAGGTCACGTCCAACTAACCAGAAAAAAGAAATAAGATATGATAGAACAATGTTTTTTAGCAATCAATCGATGATATATCTGTAGATTTTGAATAGCATATAAAAATAATCATTTTCTTTTGTTTTTTTTGTCATTTCCCAAAAGAATTTATTGTTCGAAGATTTACTGATCCTATTTTGAGAAAATATGTGGTCGACTAAATCTAACCTAAGGAAAAAAAAGTAATTTCATGATCGATCTCAAAACTGGCGGCTTTAGTTCCGGAGCTAGCAAACTGTTTCCGGTTCCTTTTTCTTTCCTTCAACTTTCTTTCTGCAAACAAATGATTGACATACATTTCTCTTGCATATAAATATTGACTATCATATATTAATTTTAAAAATTAAACTCGTACATTATCAATATTTGAGTTACGCGAACAATTTTAATTATCTCTGATCCATATCTTTCAATAGAATTGATTTAATTATAATGTTTTAGACGGTTTTTTTTCCATTCAAGAATGTTTTGTTTTAATTGGAGGAAAAAAGTGAAGTAATTGCCAACAAGTTTTTCTTTCGTCATCTATCAATATGTGTGTTCCATTATAAGTAATAGCTAATATCTTTGACATCTGTTGACACATATTCGTTCAATAAAATATGGTTAGATTAATGTCAATTTACGTAGAGTAAGAACTCGAATTAATCTTATTTGGTTTCCTATGGCAAAAATCTCATAATTAACCTTTCCTGGTTCTTTTTTTCAGAGAAAAGAGAACGAAAGAAAAGAAATATACTTGTGTTGTAATATATTCCATATGTAATTTTTAGTACTAGAGTGCAATTTCTCATGATGCTCTTGACATTTCTCAATTGTTACGGCCTATTCAAATACATATTGAACAACATCCCAACTATTTTTCTAAGAGGATTTCGAATATTATTAGTTAGAAAGATCGAATTTTAAGAGTTACATTAATTAAAAAATAACCAATAACAGATGTAATATAATAAAGAAATTGCAAATTACATTGTTGATATTTTTATTGTCTAATATATTTTATTTGAAAAAAGTATATCACAAGATACAGCGTGAAAAGCTCTATGATTTATGAAGAGGAGTTTATTGAACATATGTATCTTTTGTTTTCAAAATGGCCGAAATTTTGTTCGATGTTGCGACTATGATCATTTTTTCTTGAACGATCAACTCGCTTAATCATGTTATTGATTGAAGAAAATTCAATATGGAAAGACGGAGTATCAAAAGAGAATTTCGATTTGGTTAAAGTGCTTCTAAAAAACTACTTAACGTCTTCAATTATATTGAAAATGTTCTTCCATATGCGTAATCTGTAGATAAACAGTTGCTAGGCATACAAGACAACCGTACTCAGTATATATATACAATGACAGTGACGTAGTTATTAAGAGAATTTCATGCATGTTGCCAACAATCCGAATTGACCATCAAAATAGTTCTGATCTCAATGATTTTTAAATTATTATGTGAACTATAGTTTATTGATTGATGAAATAAGAAAAAGAAATTTCTTGTTTATCAAAAAAATAAATAAATAAACTGTTCATGCTATACGGTGCCATTCATTAGTCTATCAGATAAATGAACATCAAATTCTATAGTAATAAATTAGTTGTTAATTATAGAAATCTGGATTTATTAATCATATGTAAACTTTATCACGAATAATGTTCTAGTATATAAATGTACATATATTCAAAAACACTCAATACAATATTAGTGAATAAAATATAGAAAAAAAGACGAACATCATAGTTTAGAGTGACTGAAACATGGTGAAATTTGACGAAAAAGTAAAGAAATATCTAATGCTGTTTGATAAATATCTCGAGCACTTTGAAGATTGGTTAAAATGGTGATACATATGCCACAACGTAGATTTGAACAATTATTTGAACATGGAATAATAAGAAGTATTGATGTAGCTCCAACAGCACCACCTGTATGATAAATATGAGATGGAATAGTAAATTCATTAATAGATGATGGCTGTTCTTTGGTAATCATCCATCCTAAACCATAGAATGTATTTTTCTTCTTTGTAGCTACAATGGGTGTCCACATTTCTCGTATTGTTTCTGCTTTTAATAGTTGTTTAGTTGATTGTGAATTAATTGATTTTGTTTGACGACATTGTAAAAGAGTATTAGCAAATATAAGAAGATCATTTATATTTGATAACATTCCTCCACCACCCCATTTATATGATAAATCAACATATGCAACATTACGTAAACCTTCTTTCAATGAACGACGACAATAATAACGACTTCGATTTGATATAAGTTCATCTGGATATTCAAGTTTAGTATGACGTAAATCAAGTTGTTTAATAACAAGATCTTCTATGAGTTGAACAAACGTTTGTTTGTCATCAGAAATACGTTCTAATATAGCACTTAATAATGTAAAACCATGTGTTGTATAACGCCATGATGTACCAGGTCGATGAAGTAATTCATCATTAAGAAAAAGTGATAAAGATTCACTTACTGTCGAAAATGAACGAGTTATATAATATTCTGGAAGATTAAATTCATCATCAGTTTCCGGTTCGCCTTTTTTCCAATAATGACGAACACCACTATAGAAAAAAAAACAGATAGTAACAATATTTTAAAAAGATAACTTTTGTGTTAAATAAAAGTGTAATAGTTCTGAATCGAAACTTAGAAAAAAAAAGAATCATCTATCATTGTCAATGATAGACAAAGATTTTAGTTTTGTTTGCAAAGGAAATATTTTATTGACTATTTGAGAAATTTTATTTTTTTTAATTTCATGTAAAGAAGTTGAGTTAATAATCTCTAAAACCCAGTGAAAAATCTTGGCGAATATAAAGCAATTCAAATATATTGGAACGTTATGTAAATGTATTCATATTTATTAAAAGATCGAATTCAATCATTCACCTTGTATGTGAAGCTAATTGACGAATAGTAATTGAAACAGGTAGATTTTCATATAAAAATTTTGGTAAATCTGGATGATGTTTATCAATTGTATCATCCCAATTAAGTTTTCCTTTTTCCACAAATTGTCCTGCTATTGTCGCTGTAAATGTTTTACTAATACTTGCAATACGCATAACTGTATCGGGTGTACATGGGACTCGTTGTTCAATATCAGCTAGACCATAACCTTTTTTCCATACAAGTGAACCATGCATTGTTACACCCACACTTACACCTTTTTATGAAATAAAAAAATATAAATAGATTTGCAAGAAATTAATCATCGATCATTTATTTATAAACACGAGTGAACACAACTGTTTAGATAATTTTTCAAAAGAACTGAAACGATATAAATGCAAAAAAGATTTGTGAAGTGAAATAGTTTATTTTAGGACAGTTGTAGGAAAGATATCGAGCTATGGATTCTGTCACTAAGCAGTGCTCTACAATACAAGACAGCTAAAAGACAGAGGTATTTTTCTTCCAGTTTTATTTAATGAGTAATTTTTCAGAAAATGACCTCTCAAAACTAAGAAAGACGTTTTGCAAACTTTAAATCATTTGTTAACTTATGCAACGTCAGATGCTCTTTCAAGTATAATATTTAGAAAGAAAATTGGTAGACATTTTGCTTTTAGTTATCAAAATACAGCTGATGTTTTGAACTTTCTATTATTTATGATTTCAGTCCTTTTGGACAATGGTGCAAAGAAATAATAATTCATGTTAGAATATCGTCCAAAAAATTAACTACTTCAAATAGTTATATGTTAAGTTTCACTATGTCTATGGTTTTTTTCTGCGGACATAGTATAAACATTGACTGTAATTTTGATGTAAAGCGCATGTTAACGGTTAAGTTTATAAGAAAGTTATATTTAAAACAAAATCGACCTAGATTTGTGTCCAGTATTGTATATATATTTATATTACCTGGAATTCCTTGCTTTTCTTTAAACTCTTGACAAATAAGATCAGCTTGATTAATAATTAATTGTAATTTTTCTTTATCAATATCATTATTATTATTTAATTTTGTCCATAAAAGACCAGTAGCAGCACAAAAAATTAAAGGTTTACGCAAAAAATACAATCGAGTAAAAATACCCATCTTAGAGTTATCTATAATAACGATAAGAATAGTGAATTTTTTTCATTCATTGGTAAGATAATCTAAATCTAATCAAGACATATTATCTGATTTTATTTCTAACATATACAAATATATATATATAGTATTTTTATAGTACACAAAATACAGAAAATCTGCAACAATTCATAAAATATTTTTGAATGTATCGCTTGATTTTGCAATAAGTTTATTCGTTGTTGATTTATTATCAGCAGTATGATCTATTATTTTCGCTTTATAGGCAATAAGTTCATCGATTTGTTCTATAAGTCGAATACGTTCGTCTTTGCTTGACGGATTCTAAAGAATTATATTTTTTTTTATATAGATTCGTATAATATTCCAATAAACAAAAGAAATATTTTCTTACTATTTTAGTTAATTCATGTAAAATTTGTTCAAATACTTCATTCTGTTTTAATTCATATTCATGTGTTGATTTTAAACGTTCAAGAAATTTATCGATCATTATTTCATATGATTTTAAAGCATCTAATAAAGCTATTTGTTCATTGGTATAATTAACAAAATTTATTTGTTCATCTATACATTGTTGGTATTCAGCTAAATAATGCTCAAATGCTACTGATTTATTCGTCATCGATGATGATGAAGATAATAGTCGAATATTTAATTCCGACTGTAAATAATTAGTACATTCAGCATTAAATTTATCTAATAATGCATTTGGTTTTGTAGACATTTGAATTGTTTTATCTGACGATGCCATACTAATCGGGAATATCAAATGAATGAAATCATCTGTTGATTTCTGTATATCATTAGACAAAAGTTTTTCTTTCGTCCTATCAACAACGATTGTAGTTCTTATTATCGACATCTATATAGGAAACTGAGTAATTTTCTTTCCCAGACGGTACCAAAATGTTATTGCAGATAATTTTTATGTGAAAAAAAGACTCTTCCGAAGAAAATTTACAAGAAAAAACTAATTTTGATCAGATTCTTTCTAATAACATAAACAAAATTTAAAAAAAAAATCATTTTAATTCAATAAGTTTTATTAGAATATTGTTTGATGCATTTTAAATTCATGTCATGAAAATTATACTCAAGCGATCTGAGAGTTGACGGAAAACTCTAGTTCGATGTTAGTTGCCTTTCTATTTTTCATTTATTTAGAATGAATTCAATGTACTAGACATGTTTTAAAATTTCCAGTGTCGTTTAATCGGTATGATTTAGTCGTTTTATTGCAAATTCTTTTTATTTCTCATATTAAAATAACGATAGAGTTTGAAAGAACAACAGAAAATAAATTCAAATGCATGAATTTATTTATATTAAATTAAAATTAATAATTGATTGATTGATGTTGTTGAATAGTTTTTGTCTTTTGAAGAACAGAGATCAACATTTTCGTCTGAGGTTTTT